TTTTCTCCAGGTTTTGCGGGACTTAGGAGGTTTTCTTATCAAAACTGTAGGTTTGTGCACCCACCACACTGAGCAATATGGATTTATTTTTATCTTCATCATCAACATTGTTTGCAATAAAGTGTTCCATAATTTCACAGTATTCTTCCCAAGCTTGCACATTGCGATCAAATGGTGGCAGTGTCCCTATTGTTGCCATCCCACCCACATGTCCGCCCCCCTTCACCAAGACTTCAAACAATCAGCCAAGTCCACTCTATGTGCTCCTAACATATCTCCAAAGTATCCTCCACACGTGGATTCGAATCCCATCCTCGTTGCCAATATAACATTGTAGATCAGCATTTGTCAAGGGAGGACACAGGGCTTCAGTAGTAGATTTCTTTACCCACCTTGTTCCCCCTCTTTGGTTGATTGATTCAGTTGATTTGAAAATAAATGAGTAAACTAAAAACTAAAAAAGATAAACTTTTTCTTTTACCCCCTACAATGTCCCTGGCTATAAGAGAGTGTAACTTATGAGTGTAAAATCACTTTCTCGTCTCAACTGTTAAGATCACATTAATATACTAGGAGCCATTGAGCTAACTGTGCTTTATACACGGCTGGTAAGAGGCATGTTGGATGGATAAAATACATAAGACAAATGAGAGGTAAAGCAGGAGATACTCGGGACTAAGGATGGTGAGGTACAGTTAAGAAAGGGAAGGAAAAAACGCAGACCCTCACATATATAACGTACTGTATAAAGACATTTTGATCATAAAATAATACCGGAAAATATAACATTGATTGGGGGAAGTTATGTTGACATCAATTGACTGATAGGTCATGATTGACAGTCGTGATGCAGAGAGGAATTATTGCTTGAGTATACTTAAGTGTGAACTGTCAGCTGGTAATGGCATACTTGTACATTTAGTAGGTAGATACTGATTGGGTATGTAGCAGGCAGGACGTTTGCTTTCGAACACGATCTGAGCCTCACAACGGATCTTCTTAAGTAATTAACTAAATAAAGAAATGTGTCAAAAGAGAACCTTTTACTAAAAAAAACAGAAGTGGAAACAGCCAGTTTTCTTGCACGAGTCTCATTTAATCTGTTTGTACATTTACACACACACACACTCACACACTTTGTTCACAATCAGCTTGGTATAAAAATCAACCAGTGAACCTAATTCACAGCATAAAATCTCATCAATCATCAATAAACATGTTTTGGTTTAAAAATAAATTCATGCATCTGAGCATCATTTATATTTCCATGTACAGTATGATACAAATGATGTGAAAACAAAAGCTACACAATCTGACAACCTGTACACAGAAAAACATTTACAAACTAAAACTGATCTCAGTGCACTATTTTACATTTTCAACAACTGCACTGTTTTCTCTTTTTCTGTGGACGTTGCTTGGCTTCTTCTGTTTTATATTTATTTTTTTATCTTTGAGTATCTGCAGATGTCGTGGAGAAGCACACCACACATGCACTCCGCACAAACACCCTGTACATCAGATCTGAATCAACAGCACAGTTAAAATATAGTCAAACTTTTTTTTTTTCTAGTTAACAGAAGTGTTGAACGCTGATTATAACGTCAAGATCAACAATTTTAGACATCATTTTTTAAACCACGGCAGGCCAGAGGGGACAAGTGTGACTTTCTGTTTTGCTGTGAAGTTAACTGTTTAAAGTTATCGGGCTAAAATTTGCAAAAATACACGGTAGGCTTCTTTAATATTCTCACACCTACTCTGCTGCTCTGATTTTGACCCCTGACCTTATATCTTATTAGTAGTCGTGTTCCTATCATCAAATTGTTATGCTACTTTTAAAGTATTGCATTGGAAAAGGTTGATGGAAATGGCAAAATTCTGTTGCTTGAGGTGGTTTTTGCCTTTTTTGAAAAAGACTTTAAAAGTAACTAAACCCCAGTAGAACTATATTCTGCTGAAAACCTCTGTATATGGGTGTTTAGGTCCAAACCTGGACATTTTAGGGCAAAGCATTTAAATTCTACATATTTTGCTATAAGATTGCATAGTGACCGCCCCTACTGGTGGAAACCCGGCTATTGCAATTGAATTTTGCTATTGGCTGATCTGCAGGCAGGTGTGCATGTGGTGGCAGCTTTCATCACCAACCAACCCTGCTTATAAAAGACCGACGTCTTGACTCTACAGACTGTGGCCTGCTGTGTAGCGGTAGCCTGAAACTCTGCTCCAGCGGACTCTGTGTTTCCAGTGCGGAGAGGCTGACGGCAGCTGCTCATGGCTGGTTAGCTCTGTTAGCGCTGAGCCGCTGGCTTACTAAACGTAGCTTAGCTGTCACTCTGGCCGGTGTTACCTCCTGCATCACGCACTATGTAGTCACATGGCCATGCCCATGATTCTCTCTGCTGCATTTTTGTAATTAGTTGGGAGGGAAGGAACTAGCAGAATATAGGGGTGTAGCTCTTTAATGCGCTTAATGAGATGGGAGATTTTTTTCGGAATAAGTTCTGAAGTAGCAAACATACAACTGCCATGACTGATCAGCTGTGTATCCGCTCCAACAGTCTCCTCATAGCTCTTCTATCCATAAATTATCGCTAATATTTAATTCATTGTAATATTTCCGTCCTGTTTTCTGCATCGTTTTGCACTGTAAGGTTTGACTGCCGCTTTTAATTGTGTCATCTTGTTGCGCCCTTTTATCTGACTGTAGAATTGGCGCCTCCTACTGCTTATCTTGAACGGTAGTGGATGGAAACAGGCATTGCTTCACATTTCCGTTCCAAAATTCAGTTAGAATTTGTAATACATTTAGACTCACTGCTGTGAGTATAAAACTTTAATTTGTTGTGCATTTTTTGTTGTGTCAGTTAAACTATTTTTTCTTTTCAGACACGAAAACAATGATTACAGTGAATACTTCAGTGTCTGTCCATGGTTTCTTCTATTCAACTTCATATAAACAGACTCTTTTGACACTTTTCACAACAGTTAATATTCAACAGTTCAGACACAGAAAAGTCATCCACACTGTAGATTAGGCATAAATAACATTTAAATATTTCCATAAATATTCCTCCTAACATCCTCAGATGTCCCATGTTGTTTTACGATCACGATGCTTTGGATGTGTCATGTCTTTAAAACAAAAAGCAGCAGCAAAGAAAATGTTTTTTTTCCCCGTTCATTTTGGATGAATAAGTTTGAACATTCTCAGTGTAGCACCAGACAGAGTACAAAATAACCTTAATTATGGATTAAATAAAAAAAAACAGCATATGAAATATCCCTTACCCCCAAAAAGAAAACAAACAAACACAGGTAGAAAGATCCAGAAAGGCACTTAAGTGTGATGATATCCAACGACAGACACAGTAAAGGCTCTTGGAAATGAAAAGTGATTTTTAAATCAAATGTCAAGTTTCTTTCAGACAAACTTCAGGAGGTTTCTATAATGAAACTGCATCAGATCTTTCATAAATCAACTTTTCTCCCAGACCAGAGTCTCCTCCCAGTTATTCCAGTACAGAACGTCCTTAATGATTTGTATGAACAACAGTTTAACTAGGTCAGTTATAAACCGCTGTTACAGTTTGTCCTTTATGTGGTTCCATCGCTTTTGTTTGCTATGAAACATTCTGTCAATGTCAACTTTTCACTTGAATGTTGTTTTTTCCCATGGTAACCTGAATGCAGCATCAGTATCTTTAGGAGACGTGTCAGAAAGGTTCTGAATCCAGGAGTCAGATGTATGAATGATGCGTAATAGCAAACGCAACCAAAAAGAATCTGAACAATAAAACATTATTTGTGTACCATTATTTTGCATTTAAATATTAATAAATCTCAATTCCATTATTGGTTATATTAACATTGGAGGGATGATTTATTGATTAATTGATTTTCTATTTAAAGTGTGATTAGATATGAGAGCTATAAACTAAACTGTTACATTTCTGAAGTTTAAAGCTCCTGAAAACTTGATTTCACTGTCTTGACAACCCTTCAAACTTTATGACTACAGAAACAAGAATCAAAGTTCATTTAAAGTTTAGAAAGTAATTATTTATAACGCATAAATAAATAAATGCAGTGTGTGGGATTTAGTGAAATCTAGATTGCATGCAGATCACAAACAAGCCAGTGTTTGGTTTGTAAAATTTTAGGCTACTGTACAAACATGGCGGTTCAACATGGCGTAAGTAATGTCATCATAACAAATGCAATTACCATCCTATTAGGTTGTAATGCAATGGAAACATTGTTCACTACTCCAGTAAATAGGACGAATCATAGATACGACTAGCCAATCAGAATAGAGTATTCACCCAGACCATGGTATAAATGTATTTAAGGTACACGTATGGAGTGGAAACAAGCAGTTCCGCAGTAAGTGAGATTCATAAAACACAACAATGTGTATGCACGGCTTCATACACCAGATGTTTTATACATCTGACCCCTGGATGGGAGGAACCACTGAGCTCTTTCAGACAGTTCCTGCTTTTTCTTTATGAATATTTAAATGTTGTTACGTTGAACCTTCTTTCTTTTTGTTGTTGTTTGTTTTGATGTGACTCCAGATGATCACATGATCACTGAATGACCTGGAGTTGCAGTTTGTCATCTGAGGCACACCAACTACAGCAAGGCCTTCTGATGGATAGTGATTTACTCAGAGAGCTGAGCAGAACAACATGACAGCGAGTTAATCCTCTCCTTCACTGTCGCAGTGAGTCACATGGTCTTTGTTTCTGAGCTGGTTGGCTCACTGGGCAGTTGTGAATCCAAATGGACCAAAAACAAAAAAATTCTGTGCTCCAGTTCAGACTAAGAAAAGCCAACGGATGTTTCCTTGAAAAAGCTGATGCTTCTTATGCTTCTTTAGATCTTTTGATGGTTTGTTCCTGTTCACGGTCACGTGGTTCATTATCAAGTCCCTTATGTGTTTAAAAAAAAAAAAAAAAAAGCCAGAATAAAATGTAAACGTCTCGTCACTGAAGTCGGCTTTGTGTCGCGGCAGCGAGTCTGCTTTCATCTTCAGCTTGTGAACTCTTCAGGAGACTCGCTGTCTAACAAAGACGTTCGGGTTGTGGGTCGGATTCCCTCTGGATCCACTTGTGGTGCTGTTAAGGCGCTTTGGATAAAAGCGTCACCAGGCGGCAGAAATCTCTGCGTTTAGAGGCATTTCCACACAAACACACTGCAACACACAAACAGACATTAACAGAGGTTACCTACCTAACTGTGTATCTGCTGCAGCTTCTGTCGCCATCACAGCACCATTAATCTTATTTATAGGAACTAAACTTTATTTATATATCATACAAGAAGAATGATGGGCTTTCACATTTATTTATGTCTGTAGACATATATTTTCCTAATATTCTAATACTTTTTAAATATTGAATTAATACTTGAAGTGGTTTTCAGGCATACATAGACTTTGAATGAAAAAAGCACATAAACAAGTTGGTACAATATTACTAGGTTTACATATAAATAGACTATATCATAGTTTAATTTCTTATCGTTTTCTGCTATTTTTTAATAAACTGATTTAATATTATTTGAAACCTTTAACTGTTCCATAATAGGATGATGTTGAGGATATTTGAGTGATTATCACTTTCAGATTTTTTGGCTTTCAGGCAGCTTTATACTTAAAAGTGAAATTGACTTACAGCTGACATGAGGACACCGTGCATGTGGAGTAAAGAGCTTTTAAAAGATGAATCATAAAAAATCATAGTCGAGTGTTTCTGCCTGAAAGTCATCAATAACACTTTATAAAAACCAATGATTTTGTTCCTGATTAAATGTTTTGTCAGTAAAAGCTTCATAAGAAGAACAGTTGCCCGTCGTGTTATTTTTGAGAGAGGAATCAGTTCTGAACACAGCGAAGCAATCTCTCTCTAAATAACACTGTAGCTGTGTTTCATGTGATCATCTATCATTGATCAGTGATCAGTTCACCTGCTGTCGTCTCCTCCTGTGCTGATCACGTATTTGTCTTCGTGGGAGAAGCGGATGTTGGTCACGTGAGCCGAGTGGCCGAGGTAGCGCTTGTGTTTGGCCTGTGGACAGAAAAAATACTTAGATTTCTCTTCAATAAACAATCAATAAATGATCATTTTACCCAGATGCAGTTTACATCCATGTCTGTCCAGACTTGTGTTATATATAGTGAAGACTTAGAAGGAATTTAATAAAAGGTCTGGAGCGTATTTTTTGGCCAAATGAAAGTTATCACTATAATTCCAGTGAATAATATCCAGTGAGAAACACACTGTCCTCACTTAGAGGACTGATAGTTTGCTTTATCAGCTCAATATCAGCTAAACCAACGAGCTTGTGGTGGTGGTGTGGTGTCAGTGACTCACAAACTTCTCTGTGCAGGGGAAGTCGAACAGTTTGACCAATCCAAAGTCGTCACCGGTGACGATGTTCAGGCCGGCGTGAGACACACACGCACAGTTGACTTCAGCTTTGTCTGCGTTTCGCGGCCAAATCCCCAAAACTTCATCTCCCAGGACGCTGAGGGAGAGAAGAGACACAAAGTGAAGTCACTGGGTCTGGGTCCAATTAGAAGTTTTGAATTTCTAACTAACAGAACACAGTTCAGTTACTTCACAGTGTTTTGCTTTTACAGGACTGACTGACAGATAGCACGATCTGATGGATCAATAAATCAGGACCCAGAAAAAACACAGAGGGCAAGTTGTGCAAACTGTTCTTATTTTAAAGTTTTTTAAGATAATTTGAATACTGTGTGTGTGTGTGTTTGTGTTACCTGGTCCAGGTTGCCCAGGTGATTCTGTCGATGATGGTTTGGTCGCTCACCAACTTCCCTGAAGGAACCTCAAACACTTGCCGCTTATAAGCTCCTGTAGACACCTGCGCTCACACACATGCACACACACACGCACACGTACATTCTTGTATATAACAGCTGTCAGCAGTATGTGTATATGTCAGTATGTTAGCGCTGCATGAGTGGCAGCTAGTCACAACAGCTCTTAAATTTGTGGATCTTTGTAGTGTTTTTTATAGTGTTTACTGTTTTTAGTGTACTTTTTTTTAATATAGTGCTTTAGTGTTTTTAGTGTACTTTTTTTTTATATAGTGCTTTAGTGTACTTTTTGTTGCTCACATCGACAAACTTTAAGGAAGTGTGAAGCTATGGATGCACACTTGTTATTTTTTGAATTTTTTGGTGCGGTGTTGGGAGACCCACTCAACCACAGCTCCTTTGTTTACACCCGGGATCAGCTGGAGAGGGGGGAGTGGGGGTAAAGCAGGGAGGGAGTTGAGTCTCCTGACCGCCTGGTGAAAGAAACTGTCGCCTTGAGCCCTGCTGGTTTTGGGCCCGGAGACTCCGCTGAGTCTCCTCCCCCGACGGCAGCAAAGGAGTGGGAAGAAACCAGACCAGCTGGGACAAGGATTGGGCAGATGAACTTAAATGTGTTTTTTTAACAAGATTGTGATTCTTTGCCTCCTCTTCCCTCCCTCACCCAACCTGCTCCCACTTCACAACCCCCTGGCAAGCTCCCCTGCTCTCCAGATACTCGAGGCCTGCATCTTCAACACTGAACTCCTCATCCAGTCCACCCAGCCCCTCACCAGCTTTAACTTTTCTTACCCACAATTCCACACTCCCGGCCATATCCAGAGTTCTCAGATGGGACACAGCCATTGAGTTGGGACTGTTGATCAGGGACTGTTTCAGGCTGGTGTGAGCTCAACCAGCCTCAGCTAAACACTAGCAAGACGAAGGAGATGATTGTTCAACTTCAGGAGGAAAACATTTCCCACTTCATCCCCAGTGAACATCCAGGGAGTTGGACATTGAGGTGGTAGATTAATTATAAATTCCTGGGTGTTCACCTCAATAACAAAACTGGACTGGACTGACAACAACCATGCTCTCTACAAGAAGGGGCCCAGATTCGCCTCCACCTGCTGAGGAGACTGAGGTCCTTCGGAGTAAGCAGGGCTTACCCTATCACTTAGGGGTGTACTCACTTTTGTTGCCAGCGGTTTAGACATTAATGGCTGTGTGTTGAGTTATTGTAAGAGGACAGTAAATGTGTGTGTGTGTGTGTGTGTGTGTGTGTATACCTGTATATAACAGCTGTCAGCAGAGAAGTCAAGCTGCAGGATGAAAGCAGGGATGTCGCTGCAGTAAACCAGCCGGTTCAGATTTGGTCCTCCACTCATATCGTAAACATCCACCGTGTTCTCCACCGATCCGACTGCCAACAGCCGCCGGTTCGGGCTGAACCTGCACATACACACACACACAAACACACAGTTCACTCACATAGAAGTAAGTAAGAATTTTTAACCTGGCTTTATCCAACGTTCAAAGTTCTGTTCTGAAAATGTATGCAACACTGTATATTTTATAAAATTAGATAATACTTCAACTGTGTTTTTAAACATTTGTTGTTTTTTTTGGTTAATTTTTATTTGTATTATATTTGTGAAATACACAAATTCAGTTGTTTTCAATAGCATCTCTCCCACCGGATGTCCTGGATGGCGACGCTGCGGTCTCGTTTCTTCGCCCACATCTTCAGCGTGTTGGCGAGGAGGAGGAGGAACTCGCCGTTCTTCATCCCCACTGCCAGCATGTCTCCATCTGCGCTGTAGTTCACACACCGGGCTGCGTGGCCGACACACACCTTGTTTAACAGTTTCTACAGAAAGAGAAAACACAAAGAAAAATACAATATACTGTTCAAGTGAAAAAAAGATCATTCAGGACACTTTATAGCTGGCACCTTTAATGCTTCCAGCAACTACATGTTAAACTGCGTGTGTGTGTACCTTATCAGTGAGGTCCCACAGTCGGATGGTGGAGTCGTCGCTGGCGGTGATGCAGAGATCTTTAGTTGGATGAGCGGTAAGACCCCAGATTCCTCCCCGAGCGTGACTGTCCAGCAGCAGGTTGGACGCCGCGTTCTTCTCCCCGACCTCGATGATCTCCCCGTCCTTTGTCCCCACCAGGATCTTACCCTGAGGAAGAAGAAGACTGGGGTGATGAGGAGGACGGAGGGAGGATGACGACTGAGAGCTGAAGATAAAAATCTGAAGTTCTCACCTTGCCTCTGCAGACGGATCGGACGCACTCCACCTGCTGTCCCGTCTCCAGCTGGAAGGCTCGACAGCGCTTCATCTCCTGATCCCAGAGCTTCACCGCGCCGCCCTCCTTGGTCCTGCAGATCATCAGGATACAAATGTTCAATAGCACATTGCATTCACTAAATAATAAGAATGGAGACATTTTCAATGCAGTCCATAGGACATAGGACTCTGGAAAAAGAAGACGTGTCTGTTTTTTAAATCGTTGTAATGGTCAAATCTTTAACTTTAT